AAATTACGGGTATTATTTGTGTCTAGATTCCTAGTAATTGATGACATAATTGAATAAATTGCAGAATTGGCACAATTATAGTTCTTAGCAGTTTCAGTGCTATGATCTCTTTTCCATGCATGTTTGCTTCTTTTTTTTTTTCCACAATTCCGATTCATGTTTTCAGTAATAGAAAGTTGCCCCGTTGAAATGTTTCCTAAGATGTACTTGAATATGGCTATTTTTTTTAAAGAGTTTTTTGTTTTAAATTTTTTTATAATCAATTGAACTGATCGTGAATAAAACAAATGTTAAGTTTTATAGATATCGGTGTCTTATTCTTTGACTATATCGACAGCCTTTTGTCAACCAAAAATCGAAAGTCATGACGTACAATATAAAAAAAAAAAGTAAATTGAGATAAAAAAAAATGTTAATTTAGGAGAAATTGTATGGTAAATTCGTAATTGAACTCCTTGAAAACTTGTATATAAGCAGGCCCTGCTGCCTGCGTTTTCAATCACTCAGCATTAGAACAATGAAAACTTTGTTCCATATTGTCAAAGTAGTTGCCATCACTTTACTCCTAATTTTTATGCAAATGAAGCCTCTTGAAGCTAAAAATGAAGGTCCAATGGCACCCATAGGCTGTCATCGATTAAAACGCAGACTCCTTGATTCTTCAGTTTGCAAATATCCACCTCCATAAGCTTGATCTGCGCTGCTCTATGTTAGCTGCTCAGCTCTAAATAACAAAAATTCAAAGCCATATATGGTCTTTTCCCTTTGTTTTTGTTAATTTTTTTTATTTTCAATAAAGTTATAGATTGTGTGTACGAGACGTTCCGGTTGTTAAGAGTTTAAAATTTTACAAAAGAATGTAAATATTTTGTGTTTGAATACAGTCAGGGTCCTTTAGAATGTAAATGTTTTGTGTTTGAATACAGTCAGTGTCCTTTTTAACTTGAATGATCTTAAAGTGCATCATTTTTTTCTTTTGGTTTTATGTTTCCCTCAACTTCATGAAGTTCTAGTTGCTGTATGGTGGGAGTTTCATCCCTAATTAAACTCTGTACTACTTTAAAAACATCATTTAATATGAGTAAGCCTAAATATCTAAAACCCATGAAAATAAATACCAGAGCCTAAATATTGTGAAATTTTTAAAAGTTTTTGGCATTTATTCATTTCCAATGACTTTTAATTGTTTGGTATAATAATGACCAATTTTGTTATCTCTATTAAATTAATTTATCTCTATATATGGTTGTCTAGTTATCAGTAAAGGATTCTTTTATTAATAATTTTAAATTCCATTAAAAGATAGGAGCCAGGAGAGGACAAATACCACTACTGTTGCCCATTATGCCTTACATTTACAAAATTAAGGAAAATAACCAAATGGTAAATGGGTTGAAATTGACTAATTAAGAAAATTAATTAATTAAATTAAGATTAATGGATCTTGATAGAGGCTTAATCAAAAGTATTATTTTCATCTTTAAAATAGATGACTTGAGAGGTGATTTTCTACAAGAACATGACTGCAAAGCCCAAAGTGGCACCATTGAGCATTCCAATATTCATCATTGAACATCTGCAGGAAATGAAAAAAAAAATACAAAAAGTCTTTTGGCTAAGCTATCAAAGTTTGTAAATTCTATTTGGGATTCTTGCATCTACATTCCATCCATTTCCACATAGTTCTCATACTTAGACTCTCCATTATTCCATGAATACCAACTACATGACTTCATCTTCTTCCTTGACCCCAAAACTCGTATAAAAAATTTACAATCTCTCTTCTATAAGATTTGAAAAAGAGAGACATCTAAAGTAAAATTTTTTAACTCTTAATAATTGAAACATCTTGTACATACAATCTATAAATTTATTGATAGTAGAAAGGGTTAACAAAAAAAAAAAACCATATATGTCTTGAATTTTTAATTGAGAACCAGAGCAGCGAACATAGAGCTGAGCAGATCAAGGTTATGGAGGTATTTTGCAAAGTGAATTATCATCGAGTCTGCTTTGATCAAAGCCTATAGGTGGCATTGGACCCTCACGAGCAAGGTCAGGTGTCAAACTAGCTTCAAGAGGCTTCATTAGTATAAAATTAGGAGTAAAGTGATAGCAACTACTTTGACCAATGGACCAGTGTTTTCTTTGTTGTAGGGCTGAGTGATTGAAAATATGCAGGAAGCAGGGCCTGATTTTATACAAGTTTTGATGGAAAAGAATTACGAATTTTCCATACAATTTCTCATAAATATTCTTCTTTTTTCTCAATTTCCTTTTTCCATTTACATCACGATTTTCCATGCCATAAATGTTGACAACATATGGTTGAAATGGTCAAAAGAATAAATTTTTTTTTTAACTAAAGGTAACAGTCTTAATCATCTGTTGCAGGTATTAATATTCAACTGATCAATTAAATTAAATTTAAATTCGTTTCAAATAATAAAATTTTGATAACTATACAAACTAACCCAATTAAAAAAAGATAAAAAGTAATATCAAAATTGATGTGATAGACAAATAATTAAAATGCCATACCAAGTATAAAGGATGACATATATAGCTTCATATTAAGGGCATCTTTTCTGCATCTGTATAATACGTATGAAGACCGTTAATTTTAAGGAAAACGTGGGTCAATCAGTTTTAGTCACCAACAACTACCGGAGAATTCTATTTCGGAGGATTAATTCTGATGGAATTAGTTGTATGCTGAATAATTAGACATGGCAATGGAGGTCTCAGTAGAATTAATTTGCTGCTAGTGTTGTTGATGCATCTTCAAACAAGTCAGTAGTCAGTCAGTCTGTCTGACTAATGGGTTCCGCAGCCAACATGTTGTGTAGGAAGACTGATTGGTTTCCCACAAGATTAACTACCGTTTTAGCCAGGAAGTGGTTAAGTCAAGCAGAAAAAATAAAACCCCGTGAGAATGGAAATATGGAACCATTATCTACCTACTTTTATCATTTTTTGACTTAAATGCCACATAAACATAGTAGGAAAATAGTCTGGTTTTTACACTAAATCAGTTCTGTCTTCCTATATTCTTGTTTTGTAATCAAAACGACTTGTTCCAAAACTTTTTTTTTTTTTTGGAAATAACTCCAGCTAGTAATGGAGAAATCTCACTTGCAGATTAAATCTCTACTTTGCATTGTTGTACTAATTGTTGATTGTTTAGAATGTGATTCATCCTACATTGGATAGAAAGATTTAATTATTGATGAATAAAATTAATTTTTGTATTAATTTTATTCATATTTTAAATAATTATATTTGAATAGAAATAATTATAATATGACAAATGATTATAACTATTTGAATATAAATAGATTATTATTTATAAAAGTCATGATTATATAGAATGTCATAATCATCTGAATAGAAGTTTATGTTTGTTAATTTCTTATAAATAAATCTTTCAGTATAATCATTTTCACTACTTTTGATTTAAGAGTTTGAAGCTTTGTTGTATCATAAAAATATAATTGCTTTTAAGAAAGTGTTCTTTACGCCTCAAAGCCAAAAATTTTTTTCTATTATTTCTCTTCTTTTATTTATTTTTCTAACAATTTAAAAGCAATTATGAGAAATTTATATTTCGCATGAGGAATATACAAGGAAAAGAAATTAGCATGATTTAGAGATCAATATTAGAAAAAGCTCAAGGTATCAAAAGATTAATGTTTCTATGGACCAAAATGTTAATTTTCATAAAGATCTTCATTAGAGGTATGTATTTTATTTTTTTGCATAATTGTTAGTAAAAAAATTGATCAAATAAGCATATTAATAATTTATTTCATTATTGTATAGAGTCAAAACACAATATGTAAAATCTTGATTACATTGCATAAGTTTATGCATATACTGAAATTGACTCTACAATTGGGTTTAATGAATTATATTATATTTATTTGAAAAATCAATACTTATAAAGACCAGGATGGAAAACAGCCTGAAAATATAAAAGAAAAATACATGAATTGATTTATGACCAAAGAAGTTATCACTTGTTATTAAGTAACGAATTAAATTAAGTTTTAAAGGAATGACCGATTATTTAATCGTCATGTCTTGTTATATATAGAACAGGCAAATTGTCTTATAGTTTCTAAGAAAACAATAAAAAATGGGTACAAGAATTTACAATGAGAAATTAGATGCAAGTAGAGGATATATACAGAAAATAAGATTTGACTACAAGATTAGTTTTATTATTAAATCATGGCACCAAAATTGAGATAATAAGTTGAATCAAGCTATTTGTATGATTCTATATTTGTTGGTCATTTATAAATCAAATGTTGATATATATATTTTTAAAATTTATTATTGGTTCAAATTTTGACTAGTGTTTAATTTTCATGAAAATCAATTAAAATTAAATTGATAAATGTGAATAATTATTATTAAGATAAGGTATTTCATGGATTAATTGATGGATAAATTATAATCTATCCGATATATGTAATCTCATAAAAAATAATTTAACGTTTATTAAATCAATCAATTCTGGTATATATTTTTGGAATTGACGGTGGCCAAGTCTTTCTCATCCACGACGGAAACAACCAAGGTTGGCCAGATTAGCCATTATTAGACGATCTAGACCACCAGCAAGGGTGGAACTGGGCAAAGTGGCCACGTCTAGATGGTAGGCAAGCGATTGTCCCTTCAAAACATTTCCTACTCCCCTAATTGCAGTTTCCTTACAACTGTTGTATATACGTTACCAATTACGAATAGAGATTGAAACACATCCAAAGTCTTGAGAAATTTCTTGTCTTAGCTTCTAAAGCGATTATATCAGGTCCAGCAATTATTTCTTCAAGTTCGTGCACCTGTCACGGCTCACGCGAGCGCACGAAAAGCTAAGGCACGTGTCTCAGCTTAAGACTCAAGCCTGTGACATATATACATATACTTTAAAATTTAAAAATTACACATTAAAAATGATAAATTTAATCCATCATTCGATAAAATTCGATCATATCTTAATCTTCATCGTTTGGTGCTGCCTATATATCTTTAATCCCTTTTTATGGAACAACTTGTTTCTGTGCATGGAATCTTGCCTTAATTGCATGTAGCTCTGTGATAGCATCTTCAATCTTCATTCTCTCAACGGGAGCATCTATAGAGCACGCAACACCGACTCGAGTGAAAGAAACCAAACACTCCCATATTTCGCCATCTATGTTCGTCTCATTAATTTGTTGAAGCAATCGAACATCTAGAATCTCCTCCAATTGTTCTGGCAATGCCATCTTACAGAAATTATGAAGGCTTAAGCCATCATGAAACAAGTCATATGTTGGCCTCTTTCCACTGATCATCTCCAAGAGGAGAATTCCATAGCTGTAAATATCGCCTTGGGGAGAGGTAGGACAACCCATGCCATATTCTGCAACGATATGTTACAGCATGTTGTAAGAAATCAAAAGCCATATGATTTAAAATAAAGTACATATCAAAAGCATTGACAAAACTAAATGTATTTGGTTAAAAAAAAAAAGATAACAAGATTTGAAATTTACCTGGGGCGAGATAACCAATTGTTCCTTTGATGACTGAGGAAGTTGCTTGCTCGCTACCCCGATTATTACTTGCAGCACCAGAAAGAAGCTTAGCCATCCCAAAATCACTGACATGTGCAACCATGTCATCATCTAGAAGAACATTGGTTGGCTTTAGATCGCGATGAACAATCAGCATTCCACAATGGTGGTGAAGGTAATCCAACGCATTGGCCACATCTATAGCTATGTCCAACATTTGACCAAAGCTCAAATGGCGTGAGTGATCATATTGCTGATCATGCAGCCAGCTATCTAAACTTCCATTAGGCATGAATTCTAAAACCAGAGCTTTGAAATCAATGCCTTGGAAGTCAATGCTTGAGCAAGAAGTTATCAACTTGACAAGATTCCGATGTCGAATTTTTCTTAGAGCCTCACATTCTACCGTGAAACTCTTTACAGCCCCAAGGTTTTGAAGGTTCAATACTTTCACTGCAACGGGGTTTTTGTGTTGGTGAAGAATTCCTTTATATACAGAGCCAAAACTGCCACTACCAATGCAGTTGGAGGATGCGAAACCATTAGTGGCTTGAAGAAGTTCCTTGTATGATACTCGCAAGTAGCCAACAGGCAGCAAAGGCACAGGGATATTTTCCCTTCCAAAGCATTTTCTCCAACGAAGGAAAACAAGAAGCACAACCAGAATTGAGGCAAGTGGAATTCCAATGGTGAAAATAAAAATGACTTTGGTTGACAAAACTTTTCCCTTTTTCTTTGCTGCCTGATTGATGCATTTTGGGAGTTTTATTTCAGGAATTCCCCCACAAAGTTCTTTGTTTCCAACAATGGAAAATTCACTAGTATTATTGAAAACTCCTTTTTGTGGAACTTCACCCTCTAGTTGGTTGAAAGAAAGGTTTAAACTCACTAAAAATGGAAGGTTTTGAAGATCAACTGGTATCGTGCCAGACAAATTGTTACCAGAGAGATCCAAGTTTTCAAGACCTCTTAGAAAGCCAAAAGATAGAGGAATGCTACCTTGAAAGTCGTTTCCCTGCATGTGCAAGATTCTTAATCCAGAAATCTCACCAAGTCTCTTAGGAATTTCACCTATGAAATTGTTGTTATCAACTCGTAATTCTACAAGATTCTTCGAGTTACCAATATCTGCTGGAAAGACACCAGTGAAAGCGTTGTGAGACATATTCAGAGTAATCAAACTTTCAAAACCAGCAATCAACTGATCTGGTATGCTACCACCAAGCTTATTTTGGGAAAGATCCATGATCTGCATACGCTTGCATTTCCTGAGTGTCAATGGAATACCTCCCTCAAAATTGTTGTCATTTAAATAAAGATAAGACAATTGAGAGAGATTACCAATGCTGGATGGGATTTCACCAGAAAAGCGATTCACAGAGAGGTCAAATCGTCCAAGATTTTGAAGCTTTCCAATGGAAGTAGGAATGTTGCCTGTAAACAAATTTATCCCTATATGAAACTGTGTGAGCTTGACAAGATTGCCAATTCCTTCAGGAATCGTTCCAGAAATCCGATTCCCTCCCATATAAAGAAGATCAAGCTGGGTTGATAAATTAGCTACAGAGTCTGGTAACACCCCACCTAATCTATTCTCATGGATGGCTAAAAGTGTCAACTGACTGCAGTTGATTAAAGAAGAAAGAAAATCCAGGTCTCCTGCATTTCCAATTCCAAGGTGGTTATAGTCTATGGTAAAAAGTTCAAGATTCTGAAGGTTTCCCATATTGTCAGGAACTGATCCACTGAAACCATTTGTTTGGATGTCAAACTGTTGCAGGCCAGAGATATTAGTTACTGATTTTGGAATTGTTCCAGTGAATTGGTTATCTCCAATATACAGTATTTCAAGCTTTGGAAAAGCAAAACCTATTTCAGGTGCAAGGCCCCCAGATAATTTATTTGTACCCATGTCAATATATGTCATGGAGGAAAGATTGTAAATTGAAGAAGGAATCGTACCGGATAGGTTATTTTGACCAATGACAAGTATTTTCAAGTTTGATATTCTCCCTAAAGTATTGGGTATAGCTCCCTCCAAATGATTTCCTGCAAGTTGCAGATAATCCAATGAAGAAAGGTTTCCCAAGGAAGGTGGAATACCCCCAATCAAATTATTGTTTGCAAGAGAGAGTCTGGTGAGATTCTTCATATTATCATCACCAAAGCTGAATGGAATTTTTCCAGAAAGGCTATTGTGATTTAAATTAATCAATTGGAGGTTTGAGCAATTGGTGAGCTCCATGGGGAGGTTACCTTGGAGATTATTGTAACTTAAATTTAGAAAACGAAGCCGCCTCAACTGGCCAAATTCCCTGGGGATTTGTCCTTGCAGGCTGTTATCAGATAGGTTAGCCTCTCGAAGGAGACTTAAATTTCCGATTGAAGGAGATATGGAGCCACCTAATTTCATGCTATTCAGTTTCAAACTGATTACCCTCTGCTGCTGCCGACCACAACGAACACCTTGCCACTCGCAGAAGTGGAGAGAAGCGTTCCATGAAATTAGAGCTCCAGGAGAACCATCAACAAGCTGATCCTTCAAGGCAAGTAAAGCTAGTCGGTCGGTTTCGTTCCCCAAGGCCAAGGCAAGATTGAAGGACATCGATTGGAAGATTGTCAGAACAACAATGCAGAGCAGAAATTTGATCTGATTAATACATTTGTTATTCAAGCGAGATTTCTCCATTACTAGCTGGAAATTGGAATTACTTAAAAAAAAAGCTTAGAACAAGTCGTTTTGTTTAATAAACAGGAATATAAGGGCTAGGAAGACGGAACTAATTTATAAGTCAACAAGTATTTCTTATAAATCTAATTCTATGAGGTATTCAAGTCATAAAGTTGATTACAAAATCTGACCAAATTAAAGAGAAAAAGAAACGAAAAGAAAATTTTGTTAGGAAAATGGGGTCCGCCCCATGTAAGTGGTTTTGGACCAAGTAAAGGCCATGGGCCTTGATCTTTCATTTTACACAGAGCCCTAGCTACTTAATAAAAAAGAGGTGGGGTTGTTTTAAGGGAGTGTCGAAAACCAAGTAGAAAAAGAAGAAAAGCCAGAAAAAGTAGAGAGAAAAAGGAGAAGGGAGAGTTAGTTGAACGGAAGTCGATCCGTAGTCCGATTGAGTTGAAACTTTGTCAGTAGGTTTATGATTCAGAGTTCTACATTCTGAATGGTGAAGATCGGGTTTGAAGCTCTCTAAGAACAAATCCAGGGTGTATTTGTTGAGTCACTTATTTGATGAGATTTCTCGAATTGTTTCTTTAGTTGTTGTTTAGCTCTAGTTTTAGCTAGAGAAGAACTTTGTATACCTATTATTTAATAGTGAAGATTTTTCTGGTGGTCCATGGTTTTTTCCCTCTACACTGGAGGGTTTTCCACTTAAATCTTGGTGTGCTTTATTTTTCCTGTATTTTTTATTATTGATTGTTGTCTATTGCTTTTGTATTGTTGTGATTATTGCTTCAAGTGCAACAAGTGGTATCAGAACGAGGGTTATTTTGAGACATCGATACAAAAGCAACCCAGGATAGAAGTAAATTCTGTTTGAGATCATAGAGGGTGATATAGGTTCCATGATAAAATTGACAGCATCGAATTATTCAATTTGGAAGCCTATGATGGAGGATCATCTATACTGTAAAGATTTATATGAGCCAGTATTGGATGATTCAACTAAACCAGCAGATATGAAAGATGAAAGCTAGAAGAAGCTAGGTAGAAAGATGCTGGCTACAATAAAAAAATGGGTTGATATCAGCGTGTTCCATCATATAGCGCAGGAGTCAGATGCTCACATTGTTTGAGAAAAATTGGCAGTATTGTATGAGAGAAAAACAGGTATGAATAAAGTTATGCTTGTTAAAAAGCTTACAACTTTACAGTACAGGAATGGACGATCTGTTACAGAGCACTTGAGTGATTTTCAATATATATTTAATCGGGTGACTATTATGGAGCTTAAGATGGATGATGAAATGAAGGGTTTATTTCTTTTAGGTTCATTGCCAGACAGCTGGAATACTCTAGTTGTGACTGTTCTTAATTCAGCTCCTCAAGTTGGTCCAAAAGTTTTGGTTAGGTAAACTTTCTTTTATTTTTTTTATTATGATATTTTATTTATTTGTTGTCTAGTGCGGCTTGAGATAATATTTGTGATAATAATTCTTTTATGAAATTATTTTATTTTGTTATTTTTTACTTATTTATTTCTATATTTATTTATTTTTTAATTTTGATTTTATTTGTTTTACCTATTGATTTATTGATTTAATTGATGAAAATGAAAATTGAATTGAAAAATGTAAATATACTATTTTATGATTAGAAAGTTGTAAATATGTTTGTATCATTATTTGCAATTAATATTTGTAAATAAATAAAAGGGAATAAATTTGCTTCTTTGTCATAAGATTTTCAATAAATCTAATGACAGAGCTTATTCAAGTAAACAAGTTTATCTTGAATATTCTTGAGGTGAAAAAAAAATTTTTTTGGTGAAAACCTAAAGACTTTTTTTTTCAATGTTTGAATATCAAAATTAATAAAAATCATTTTAGATTAAAGCTTAGACAAGATACCATAAGCTAATATGATATCAATTTTTAGGCATTGTGGGGGTGCTAAAACCTTCCCTACACATAACCAACACTAAATCCTAGTTTTGTTGATATAAACCAAAACCTATTCTTTTTAGGAACCTTTAGTTTAAGTTTAGAATAACCTTAATAAGGATAGATTTATATAGGTAGCCAATCCACCAAGATAAAAAAGATTGGTGGCGACTTCATATTTTTGTATCTAATAAGCAGGTTCTCAAACTTAAACATTATGACAATTTGGTGATTCTATTGGGGATATTAGAGAGTCAAGCCATTAGTTAATTATATGTTATCTTAAGCCTTATATTAATAGTTTTTATTATGTGATTATTTAGATTTTTATGTGTATTAGCCTATTTGTTTATTTTGTATAACATTTGACTTTTCATATGTACTATCCTATTTGTTTGTTTTTGGTTAGCACTTGTTTTGGGATATTGGATTTGTGAATAAAAAGCATTGGTATGTACCTTCACACACAATACACATGCATATTTATGCATAAGCTCTAGACTTGAGTTTTATCCTTTCTTAGAAGGGAGCAAGTACCTACACTCTCGTAAGGTAATAACCTTCGTGTAAGCTAGCAAAAACTCCAACTCAATTTGAACTCTTTTCATTTGAGCCTATATTAGAGAGAAAGGATTAGGATACCTTACTAGTTTATAATGGATAATGATGTAAAGAATAATTTGAGAGCCTTTAGATTGTCAAAACTTTTGAACCTAGCATGTAAACAAGCCCCAAGAATCCAATCTTAAGCTAGAGCCTACCATTCTCCTTTTGTACAAAAAACCTTAAAATAGGAAAAATAAAGGGTAATTTTCAGTCAGCTTATATTTGTTTGGTTAACATAATTATGAACTTGTACAAAAATAAAAATATGTTTTAAAAAAATTTTTCTTCAGAAAACAAAAAAAAGAAGGGAAAATAGGCGAAATTTTGAAATGTATTATTTTCTTGTTATATGATCTAGGATTTACCATTACATACATGCATTTGTACATATATATATATTTTGTCCATGAAATATTCCATTTCAATATTTCATATATAAAAATATGTGAATGCCTAATTGTAAATCAAAGAGTAATTTTTTTACTTTTTTTTTTCAATTTTGTACATAGTTGTGAATATAAATTTTTATTGTTACTATGGATTGTATATACATTTATATCTATGTAAACACTTTTATATGTACATTATTTCATTTGTTTGGAGGTTATCTTTGCCATTTTAGTTTTATACATAGTTTTCAATTTGTTTTTACTATATGTTACATATACGTATTTGTGTATACATTTTTATCCATGTAAACATCTTTGTATGTATATTATTTCATTTGTTTAGGATAATCTTTTCCTTTTTTAGTTTTCTACATAGTTTTGAATATGAATGCTTGTTTTTACTATGTATTGCATATATACATTTTTTTATCCATGTAAATATTTTTGTATGTAAATTATTCTATTTGTTTGGTGTAATTTTTGTACTTTTTTTTAGTTTTGATACATAAGTTTTGAATATGAATTCTTATTTTTTATTATGTTTTGAATATAGGTATTTGCATATATTTTCTTAATCCTTTTAAGTTTAAGATTGTTTGACAATAAAAAACCACATGATTTCTTTCCATGATTGAAAAATATTTTTTGTAAAGATAAAAGTTTTGTGGAAACAATATTTAAAGAATTGGTTATTACTATCAAGGATGATCATAACTAGTTGCTTTACTTATCATTTTATACCTCAATTCAATTAAGGATCACATAATCAAAGCCTAACTTCTCAAGTTTTACAATTTTGATTTTCACTTCACTAAGAGGGATTTCAAAATTAATGATCTTCATTAAGGCTATGAAAAATGAAATTTGCAAAAATTTTATTTATTTATTTATTTTTTGAAAAATTCTTTGTAAGCTAATACATAAGTCACTTTTTTAAAGATTCTAAATTTTGGTAATTTGATGAGTGTCAAAACTATTCCAAATGCATCATTGCCCAAGTTTCTTGACAAAGCTCAAACTTTTCAATTTCTTCCTTGGGACATAATTACTGAAAAGATCATATCCCCTCAGTATCCTTGTTCGACATCTTGATTATGCAACATTCCTTTTTTATTTCATTTATGCCCTAAAATTTTTCTTTGCTTACATCTTAGGGCAAATTTACCAAAAGGCCAAATTATCCAATATTCTCAATATCTTTAATCTGGATGGTTTTCATTTCATCTTTTATTAAACAAAGATTACATGAAAATTTATTATAGGTTGTGAAAATGAATATTGTTACATTAGGGCTTCATTTGATGTAGTAAGATTATATATTTTGAGCTTAAGTTGTAAAAAAAAAAAGTAAAAGAAAAATGAAAAGAAAATAGTTGATTGTAACATTATACATATAAGATATTTAAATGATTCCAAAATCAAAGAGGAAAAAATTTTCTCTTAAGAATTGCTTTTCAATAAAGGTATCTATATTTGATAAAATAAATGGCCATCTCTTATATTCCCTTTACAAAAGGAAAATATCCATTTGCTACCCCTTTTGAGTCTATTGAAGATTTTTTGAAGAAACCTTAACCAAGAATCACCTTTCATACTATGGGGTAAATATGAATGAGGATTTATTTGAGTAAACATTAGATTTAAAGTTAAGTAAAAAGAAAGAATACCTATAGTCAAAAAGCAATCTTGTAGTAAATTAAGTTCCAAAATTTTGAACTCAATTTCTCAAAAATGAAAGCATGCAAAAAAAAAAAAGATGAAAATACATGTTTTGAGAAATGGAAATGACAAATGTTCTAGGGAAAAGAAATAATCTTTGGTTTGATTACCTTTAAACATATTTTTTGGTCTATTTATCCTATTTTTTAGAACTCCAAACCCTGGCCTATGTCACATCCTTTGAAAAGCCTATTTTGATCAAATGTAGATATCTAAATTGAAGAACATTTCTTTAGGAAATCACCCATTTTTTTTATTTTGGATGAATTTTGAGTTTTCAAATGCATGATGAAAAATCAAAAAGAAAAAGGAAAGAATGAAGCTCCAGGGTGAAAACCCA